GGGCATGACCCATGGATTTACCTGCAGTCCAGCTTGGGTGGGTGTCTGCTGAGGCGCTGGATGATGAACTGGCTTTAGTGGATCAGCCCGGTTCCCCACAGACCAACTACAAACTTCTGAATTGCTGGCTCATTTGTTTCTGCAATCTCCAAGCATTGTCTGCACCATTTTTGCTACCATCCATCGCGGATCTCGCTTCTTCTCATACGGTCTAGTTTGGCTGATGTTTGGGCAATGGGTTTCTCCACTCATGATTGACCCGTCTAAAAAGAACCTTGCCTCGTGAATTCTTTCTCTAAGGATTGAATGTGTGATCTCAGCCTTATCCTCTCAAGATGCTAGTCGAAAGGCCGCCCAGCAGGGAGCCCAGTGGAATCTCCCAGCCCCCCGTGGGTGCAGCGATGCATTGTTGGCGCCAAGAACCGCACATGCTCATTGTTGTGAAAGCGCTTTTTGGTACTCTAAATCGTTCTTTGCGCGACACCGGACCGAAAATGGAAACACACACTGGTGAAAGTGTTTAAAAAGGAACAGCAAAGCTCTGTTTAAGCTCCTTGTCCAGACAAGTGTACCAACCTTTCTCAGTCTGCCATTCTTAGACCCTTGGCCCTTGGCTCCGAATTTTGCACTCGTTTTCAGGTGCTTAAACAATGCGCCCAAGCGTCCTTCGCCCCAGCCACGAGGGAAACCGTTTGGTGTTTTTACACGGCCTCCGAGATGCAGAAGGGTTTGCGCAGATATCATCTCACGGCCTCGTCGCAGTGCTCTGAACCTGGACTTGCCAGGATGAGGACTTGCTGCGTTGCTGTTGTGGCACGAACATGATCACATCTAGCATCCAATTCCGAATGACCTGTGAAGGTGACATCATGAACGGTTCTTCAAGCTTGCCCGTCTGAACCAAAAACAGCATCATTACATACATCTCATTGTGTTTTGCGTGGTGAACGTCATTTTCAATGCACCCCAAAATCAACCTAACCAACAGTACATTTTTGCCTTGGCTCAGCATTCATATCCACACCCATGTAGTCGAAATGCCATTGAGGTGACGGGTCGTATGCCTTTCCAGAATGCAAGAAGGCCAGCTGAGTTGTGCAAAAAGGATTTGAATGTTGGATGCATTGTTTGAACCCTAGGTTCCCTGCTGTCGGCGTCCTTCCTGGGGCAAACAAATCCCTTTCACGATGATTGTTTGTGGCCCAATGGGTTTACCCAAAGCCTGGACTCCACAAAAGGTCAAGTCCTGTGCTTGTAGCTTAGGGTGCCCAGGCCGGGAGAGGGAGGCAACAAATGACTGGTCGTGCATTGAAGACGGTGCTTCTGTGGCGTGCTGACAAAAGGTTCAGAGGTTCGAATAACTTGTGCCTCAGGTTGGGACCTGATCAGTTTGTTCGCTTCCTGCCTTGTTTGTGATTGACTGATTGGTGCAGGAGATGCCAAGCAAAGAGGAGAAGCAGAACTGCGGAAATCACTTGAATCCGCTGGACGATCCGGACATGGCAGGTACTGTGTCCTATGTCCCTTGACAGCAAGAAGAGCCCACAAGCTGGCAATGGGTTTCCATCGTCGAATACTGAGTCTACTGGGTGTAGCCGTGGTGGTTGATTCGGTCAAACAAGATCATCCTGGGATGCCTCCCACTGCTTCGCCGTGCCGGTCGCAACGCCAAGGTTGACAAGTACTACACCGGCCCCGAAGCCAACCCAGTCGGGTATCCCCTGCCAGAGATGGGGAAGGATCCTGACCATGCTCCTCCAGTGAATGTGAAGGCATGTCGTCGGATTCGTGGAGGAACGACGCGAGGGCGTCCTGATTCCGATTCCTGCGTTATGGTTGACTCAACTTTTTATTTTTTTGACAAACCAGCCTCATAGAAGAAATCTTAAGTGCCTGAGAGCGTGATTAGTTGTTCCCACTTTTGCTTTAAGACCGTGCAGCCATGTGGCTGAGATGGGTGGGGAGGGAAGGCGACATTAAATTCCAAGAAAGAACGCGCCAAGCACTGTACTCAAAAGAGCGCCGTCATTCTGGAGGTTCATGCTTTGGTGCAAAAAGTCTGGGAGTGGACACTGTTGGAACGTCAGTGAAGAAACCTCGTGCAAATACGTTTGCTCCTGATTTTCTCGCTCGGCTGCGCCTTCAGCCCAATCCTTTTTGGCAGCATTGATGTTTGTTCACCAACATGTGCAGATCAAGAAGTTTGACGTGTTGTTTGACACAAGTAGAGTTAGCAAAGGGAGCGTAACGTGAGCTCTGGTTGACCAAGAGGCCGCTGCAACAAGCTAGAAGTGTGTATGTGACCGAAGAGAATGCCTCATGTGGCGCCTCGCTACAATCAGCAGGCTCAGTGATAACCAGTGCGCAAAAGGCTTTGATTGATCTTGAGGTGGGCTCACGGACGGTCGTGGTCTCTGCAGGAACCATGCGACGCAAGACTTCAATCACAGCTGGAAGCAAAGCGGCCATCTTGCCATTGATAGGCCTTGGGACACTTTTCCATTAAAGTAGTTTGGCCGAAGCGTGGTTGAATCAGCTTCAGTCGCAGTTGAGAAAGAGGGAAGTTGCTCTTAACTTTTTCCGAGAACGCCTGCGCTCGGCTGCTACCACAAAGTCATCAGCAGAGGGCTACGGGATATTCTGGTGTGTGCAGGACAGTTTTTTCTGTGGAGTCTCACGACGCTTTGTTTGACGGTTGCACGGTGTAGTTTGTTCACCATGTCTGGAAAGTTCACAATGGATAAAAGGCGAATTACAGGATGTCATCTTGACAAAGAACCTAGAAGTGCTTCTTTGACCGATGTCAGAGAGAATCAATTTTGAAGGAAGAAGTTGTGACAGTCGCCAAACTCGCGTCGCTCGCGGTCTTTTGATCCAGACAGTTCTAGGTCTTCGCACGGCTGGACGCGCAATAAGACCAGCTTCTGCAGGAGCATGTCGATGCAGAAGTGCCTGAAGACAGTGGTTTTGAGGGAAGCAGTCTAAGGATGCGGCAAGTGAGGCCGTGAGGCCAATGAAGCTGATGACGTCATGCCGCCGAAATTATGAGGCGCTTGACCCCCGCATGACTCATCAGGAACGCGCTGCACCCTGAACTTCACATCGTCAAAGATCGGTCAACAGTCTCATGCAAATGCGCGCAGTGAGTTCGGTGCATACGTACGGCGCGACGCGAGGCGTCTAACCTGGCGGAGTGGGTCGCCAACGATTTTTGATTGGCGCGCGAAGTTGGTTTTCGTAAGGTGTGTAAGGACAGGAGCATGGAAGAAGCTGTTCCGCCCTGTGAGCGTGCCTCCGATGTAAGTAGGTCCTCCTTTGCAAGATGTTGGACCGAAGCTGTGCCCTCCAATGGGATCGAACCTGTTCTTTTATGACCGAGCTGATAGAACGGCAGTGGCGGTTCAAGAGTCGCGCTTGCATCTAGAAAAACGATCCGACGATACTCCAAAGCAGCTGCCGATGGTAGCGCGTGTTGAACGACTTAACTGGTTCAAGCGCCAGAGCGCGCAGATCTTGGGTGATGTATTTGGAACCCAGCTAGTGGATCTGCCTTGCGCTCCCGCTGAGGCTGCGGAATGTATCAGGTCATGGAAGACTCCAGCACGCGCCCTGTATATTGTCAACAAAAGAACTGGCCGTGAACGTTCGAGCAGTTTCCCTCCAACAGGTGTTGACACGGAGCTATGGGTTCAGATCCCTCAGGCGCGCAGGTCTTTGCTGCTGACTATCGCGTCGGGCGACCGAGAGGTCGCGTCACAGTTTTGGATCTAACGACCAAACCACACCCATATTTTCTTCCAGTTGCGCTTGCCTGCTGAGGTTGCGTTTGATGCAGCGCCTCCAACAAGGCTTGTTTAAACCAAGGACGCCGCAGCGTCGGGGTCGCGCGAGGACCGTTTTGCAGTGAGCATTTCTCCATGGCCGTCCCAACTTCCGCCTAAGGATGCCGCTAGAGTCAGATCAGCATGTACGCAGTCACACTTGGATGGCCTTTTTTCGGGCTCACTGCTGAACGGATAGCTCAAGCGCGCGATGTGTCCTGAGTTGGCTTTGACCACTGATCAGCCGCCGTGACCAAGAAAGAAGTGTTTGGAGTGTATCGAAGGTTGCAATTTGCTCTCAAGCTTGTCCACATCATTGACGCAGTCGGCGCCTTCTGATTGAGAATACGTCGAAGGTTTTAGACTGGGGCCGGCTAAGGTGGTAGACCGCCGAGCGAAAATGTGTAAATACGTCAGAAGCTCGATGGGGAATATTGAAGCAAGCGCCCCTCTTGCGCAGAAAGTGCCCAAAGGGAAAGCGTTACCTTAGGTGCAATTTTACGGGTACGTCTGCAATCAAAACGGCGTGGGTGAAAAGGGCCGCTCCACAAATCGAATTGCTTGCCATGTTGTCGCCTTTTTTGCTCGGAACAAGCAAAACACCCTTCCCTACCGTGGTGTGCTCAAATCACTTCAAGAACCAATTGCTCTGACTGTCTGAGCGGTCCGTTGCGAAGTAGACAGTTGAAGCTGAGAAATTGGGTGCCACTCTAGGACCCTAGGACTACCGCTAGAAGTTCACCCGGAAAGCCTTGCATTCTTGTGCGGAACTTTTTGTTACACTGAACTCATGGTAAAGCTGTCTCAGGCCTCGTGTCGAGTCTCTTATGCTGTGCACCACTGATGCCTTCATCCCCACGGCGAAGTTCGACCTGAAGAGTAAATCGGGTGAGGAAAGGGTTATTAAAGCGCGGCCGCGAAAAGCAAATTCTAGATATGACATTGATTGAAAACATATCGAAGTTCACGTATTACTATACGTTGCAGCCCAACAAGCGGAGTGCGCAAGACATGAAAGTGTGTGTGCGTGTGCGTGTGTACCCCTAGGAGTCGGAGGGATCCTTTTGGATTAGAGATTTCTTTACGGTTTTTCTCGCTTCAGCAGGGGGCCGCCGCGGCCGCTGTGCGAGAGAGAGAGAGAGAGAGCGGAACCCGTCGGTCGGAGTGGGGAACTGGCAAATCATTTGCTTGAGGGAGCTTGACCGAACAAGTCAAAGGGAAGTCACTGCCTGTGGCTTACCAAAAAGTGGTTCTGCATTGACCATTTACCGCCTGGGTTTAGAGAAGCACTCAACTTGTTTTTTTACAGCAGGTCTGTCTCTCTCTGTCTCTCTGTGTCTCTCTCTGTCTCTCTCTCTCTCTCTCTGTCTCTCTCTCTCTCTCTGTGTCCGTCTCTGTCTCTCTCTGTGTCACCCTACCACACGCAACGAAACTGTGGGCCAGAGTGGGAAGCAGGGCCTGATCAGCCCTGTGTTCCTGTGAGTGACAACACTCTCCTCTTCTCTGCTGTTCTTTGTTTTCATGGTGAGTCATGATATTCCCCAAAACCTATCCCCAAAGACTGCAGCCGCTAGTTTGAGCATTTACTGAAATCCGCAGTCACGCACGACCGCCGTCACCCGGTTGTTTCGTCGATTCGGGTCCTCTTCGTTTGAAGACCTCTAGGATTCACAGGTTTCGATGTTCCTCTCAGGAATCTGGTCCCTTAGGTTGCCGTGTGGCGAGTGGCATTCACATCCGTACGCAACTCAAGAAGTGTGTGATATTTTTTTAGCCACGTAAAGATTTCCGATCGAGACGCTCCAAGTTACCAGAATGGCCGCACCTGCCTAAGTTCAACATCCAATGTGCCAGGTGTGCGTTGCTCCTTGCTGCACTCACTCTGCCATGCACCCAGTTCTCCCTAGCTCTCTTTTGGACTCTGTGGAAAAGAAAGTCCTCCACTCTGAACGACACCTTCTCGTGTAGTGTTTGCTCCATTTGATGCTCCGTTTTGCAAGGAGGTTGGTCCAGAATTATGATGCAGGATGGATGCAGATTGGACACAAATCACATACAAACCACATTTGGACATTTGGATTGGACAAAGGCCAACGTGGTCAGATTCTCCTTTTACTGAGCCTGAAATCGAAAGCTTTTAAATTAGGATTGGCGTTGCGTGGAGTGATCACAGACCCACACAAAGTTTGGAAAGACCTCATCTGTAAGCTCAAATTATTTGGACACCAAACCCACTTGAAGGCAAGTGGGGTCCCTTTCAAGCTTGGATGTACAACAATCATCTCATTGTCCTCCAAAGAATGCTTCTGTTGCTGCACATCGAGACGTCACACTGAGTTCTGCTAAGGAGGCTGCAAACAAGACACGAGGCCTTCCACCAGCGGCCGCAGTCTCAGTCCTTTTCCAAAAATCTAGGAATCAAATGAATTGTGTAAGCTATCCAGCATCCTAGCTGGTAGCAGGTTACCTAGTTGCTTGGCAACCCTCCCAGCCCTTACTTACATAATTAAGTAGGTGGCTACCAATGAAGTAAGGGCGGGCTAAAGATGAAAACAAGTCGACTGAAAACCTGCCAAGAGGCCTGGACTTCCGACTCCTGAGGTAAACCACACCAAGTACATCCCCAAGCCAGAGGTGGGGAGTGAAAGGGAAAATCCTTTTGTACCAAGAGTCTCAGCAGGCCTTTGAAAAGGCTTGGAAAGGTGGAACCAAGTTGGAGAACCCTGACACGAATTGGTAGCGAGACTAAGCAGGTCTCGGTGGTAGTGACAGTCACAGGCACACAGCACTGTAGCCCTATGCCAAATCTGTATGGGATTTGGGCCTAACCTTCATCGGCTGAGCACATTTTGCCGTCTACTTTCCAGGCGGAATGTGCAACGCCGAGCCGCCGCGGCGAAGATGGCTACATCGTGTGACTTGGCCTTCACACGGGCTCGCTGCTAGGAGATTGGAGATGAGAAAATGCCGTTGGTCTCCAGGATCAAAAACAATGTAGTGTGCAAAAAGACCTGTGGACCTAAGATTATATGGTCTTGTCCTCATCCTTCCACTGCGTGAAATGCGTGTCTTTGTACTCCGAGCAAAGTATAAAATATAACTGAATTATGCGATGAGTAGCTATTCTGCTGGTGCAGCTTCGCAGTGTTGTTTCAATCTGACTCTCTGTTATGGGCCGCCCACTGGTCCAGTAGCTTCACTGGCCGCAGCTGGTGGAACTGAGGTATGAAGGTTCGCTTTCGATCGATAACTTCAATGTGCATGCATCCTGCGCTGATAGCCACTCGACCCAAGCCGAGCAGTTCCCAGCAGTTCACATCAGAATATTCAAATGGTTGGCATGCTCTGTCAGTTCTCATATACAGCAGGGGGAGCGCACCTTTTCCTGACGTTTCGACCTGACGTGCCTTTGACTGAGGCTACAAAGGTCATGCAATCATCACTCCTTGCACCAAGAAGGGGGAGCCCTACAAGATCGCTGGCTGTGTGCCAGAGGTTTGCACGGCACCAAGCCCTACCGAGCAGCAAGACTACAAGGACAGTTGGGTGGATGTTAGGATATCCAAGCTTTCTTAAACCCTTATGCATCTTTTTAAATCTCTGGAGTTTTTGAAGAGCAGGGCGAATAGCAAGAACTTGTGCGGCAGGTAGAGGGTTGTGGGTAATCTGCCAGTAAACTCCGTCCCCATACACATTGTCATATTGTCGCATTGTCCATGATCATCCCACATCCAAATGAAAGGCAATCACCATGATTGAGTTGTGCTGAGCTACCTTTCCCTTGGTTCAAACCATGTTACTGAACCGCATGTTTCAACTCCCTTCCCTCATCGCAACGCAGCCCGCGCAGATCACGGAGCATACGTTGGAGCTGCCTTTCTTCAGCGTGACTGTGCAATGCAAGGGCTTGGGCGAGGCCAAGGTGATGCCGTGCAAGAAGGATGGGGAGCCCTACGTGATCTCTGGATGCCTGCCCTACACCTGCAAATCTCCCAAGAACAGCGTGGAGGAAGGCTACCAGGTGTTCCTTAGATTGAGCATCAGAAGCACACAAACACTCTATTGTTCTTTTCGGACAACGCTCCTTGGGAAACGATGTCGGCCAAATCGAGAGACCGGCCAACTCGAGAGACCTGAAGACCATACGTGGAGACCTGTGGAGACGTCCAAACGCTCGGCAAACGGACCATGGACCACCCAAGGATGGAAACCTCCAAGCGCTTGGACTCCTGGGATGTCAAAGCATCTTGCGCGAAGGGCTACGAGGGAACTGCCGAGGTGCGGACGTCTTGTTGTATTTTAGGTTTTTTTGGAAGGATATGGATGACAAGATAAATGCCAGGGTAGCCTTGAATGGAAACACATCATGGATAATGTACTGTAGTAGCCTATGATTCAATGATTCTATGATTATTGGGTTATTACTCATGTTGCTTCACCAGTAGGACGGAGCCGATCATATATATCTTTTTTGGCTGCCTTGGCTTCCTTGTCTCATCTCATGGAAGCTTTTGTGCATGAGGTTGAATCATGCCCCATATGTTGAGATGGGGAAAGACTTCTGACCCCCAGAACCCCCGTGCTTGGAATCACACATAACCCCCAAGACTCATTGAACTGCCGTGCTCCCAGGTGGTTGAATGCCAGACGCCCCTGACGCCCTACAAGCTCTCTGGGTGCAAGCCTATGAAATGCACCATGCCCTCTGCTGAGGTGGCAACGTGGCCATTGGAGGGGAAGGGTGAGAGATCCATGGTGTTGTCTCTCCGTATCTCTCCGTTGCAAGATCCATGTTGACAAGCCCGTATACGTCACCGAAGACTTCAGGAGCTCCGGGACTACGAGATCACCGTAGTGGATTTGCAGATGCCCAGCTTCGCTGTGGCTGTGAAGTGCAAAGGAGTCGCAGAGGAGGGGACCGAGGCCATGGTTGAGCCTTGCTTCCAGGGCGACCAGCCGTGCCTTGAATCGAGAAGATAGGAAAACACCGGGAAGATGTGGAGGTATAAAGGGGGCAGGTTTTTGGTGGGTGGCTTGTCAAGTCTTGGTATCAAGGCTTACCAGCGAAGCTGAGTCCAAGGTGGTGACAAGACGTCACAGTTTCGCAGCACTCAAGTTCATCATTGAGGTCAAACTCATGCATCGCTAGTGTAGATGTCTGTTGTGACAGCCATTGCCAAACAAATACAATTCAGAGGGACAGTGATTCGTCTTACATGAAGCTTTGAGGTTCACTCTGAAGAACTGCAAGCCCATGGCATGTACCTCTCCGAGGGCCAGCATGGAAGATGGCTATACAGTGCTTCTTGGCTGGGTGTGGCCTAGGTCCAGCTCTATCGCAAGAATGGCTTGAGCAGAAAGACCTTTGTGTGTTGAACGCTTGGTGAAGGTCCAATGAGCTGCTCTTGCATTGATGAGACTGAGGAATGCCACCTCAAGGATGTTTGTGATTTAGTTTCTTGTTCTGGGCCATAGGATTCTGCGCTTAGGTTCGAATCCTCCAAACAGATGCACGACTTCGACGTGAAAGCCAGCTGTGCTCAGGGCTACAAAGGTTCTTTGGCCTTGCATTGGGAACGATTTCATGCAATAATCGGTTCATGACATTGATACCTTCTTTGGCAGTTCCAAGACAACCTCGGAGCACTGCTGTTTGGATTCTGTGAGCTCAACAAGTCCAAAGCTGCCCCAATTGACACAAATTCCTCGGCCGTTTGGTGGTGTCCGACCGAAAGTCCGCGTGGGGCGTGGGGATCTCTCGATCCGCCGCTGCCCCCTCCGAGGCGCCGCGAAAGTGCAGATCTGTACGGAGCCTGAAGGCCCCTACGAGCTCTCCGGCTGTGGCCCCAAGCGATGTGTGGAGCCTGGGCCAAGGGCCTCGCGCGACTACGAGCTCAAGGCGGGCACGCCGAAAAAGCCGGCCATGGCGATGCTGGCGATGCGTTGAAGGAAGGAGTAGTTAAAGATTGATGGACTGAGCCATTTGTTCATTTTTTGTGCAGGGTGATAGATTGAGAGGCAAAGGAGGCCTAACACATCGTCTTTGAGATTCCATTTCTGTGCTTCTACTGAAGGACTTGATTGAAACTGAAGCTTTGTTTTTCTTGCATCAGCTTGTTTGAAGTTGAGGTGATTTCGCGAGAGATCCCAAGCTTCAACGTGCAAGCGCAATGCCGAGTTGGTGCCTCTGGTACTCCGAAGGCCACGACGTACGACGATAGGCACTGTTGAGTAGCTCATGGATCTACCTGGACTAGGCATGGTCGTTGAATAGTCCTGCAGCACTGCATGTTCTTTTTGTGGATGCTATCTTTGACAGTCCGTGAGCGGAGAAGGGGTCCCCTTTTGATCCATTCTGTGAGCCCAAACCCGCTTCTACTTCTACTGGCCAGGTGAGTGTTTGCAGCAAGGATGGAGGTCCCTTCACACTGGAAGGACGTGTGCCTTAAACGTACAATTTATAGCGCTATGACATATGCAGTTGCTTTATGCATTTATGCCTGATCTTTAGCATGTTTGGACGTTTTGCAAAACTGGATCCAGGATGTAAGCCTGATGCTTGCCGGGCGATAGTTTCTACAGATTTCAACAGCGGATACACAGTGTGCCTTGGACAGCATGTGCTTTGGAGTTCTAGTCGTTGTACGGAAAGCTTCATGCTATCTAACATGAACACCTTCTTGGTGTATTGAGAGTGATTTCGCCAAAGGGTGGATACGTGAAACCTGCAGAGCATGAACTCTGAGCTACTAGACATTAAGCAAAACTAGATTATGCAGTATCCTTGAAGAGCCACTGAATGATAAGCTTTTCATCATTCTTCTACCTTGCGGAAACAGGTATGAGAGGTCGCTGCTCCTTGAGAACTTCAATGTATCAGCAACCTGTGCTCCGAGCTTCTTGGAACATCCAGTGCGAGGATCCTTTGTTTTTGTGGAACAATCACAAGCAGCCCGAGCAACTGCCACAACTGTGGCAACATTCTCAGGTCCGTGGCAGCCTTGCCACAATGGTTCAACTGTCCAAATCGTGAGGTCAGGCACAAATCCGTTGAGTCGGCGGTGGAGTTGTTCCACCACAGTGGACACATTGACAGGCACCGTGGACATTCTTCCTGCATGTCGACATAGCAAGTTCGAGCGGTAGCAATCGAGCAATCCTACGTCCAGCGTGTCGAGGTCACCACGAATGCGAGTCAACACCGAGGAAAAATGGCCAAATGCACGGGATAAAAACATACAATGTAGACTCTTGATTAATACCTCCCCCAATTTGAATTGGACATCCTCTTCATATGGGGGGGTTCTTGATCAAGAGTCTACAGAAGACCAAAGCCCCATTGCATGGGTTGACAGACTCGCAAGGATCAGGACTACAAACCGACCAGAATACCATACATCGAACGAATCCCGCCGAAGCCAGAGAAGCTGACACCGTCCTCAAGCACGGCACATGAGAATTAGCCGTAAGCTTTGAGAACAGAAACGCAAAGACACGACAGACGGAAAAGAACCCTTGGAGACCAACTGCTCCACGTTGCTACAGTCCGAGACTCGTCCACCCATTGGACTCGTCCACTCCTCGGACTGCAACGCTACCTACTCATACACTCATGATTCTTTGTTCAGGCTAAATCCGGGAAAGCGACCCGAGCAAATGGGACTGCGGATGCCCAAGATTAAACAATTCAATTAGATCGTCAAACCGTCGGCAGTCCTTGCGAATGTTTTGGAAAGACAACTGATTGTTGGGCTCAGACTGCATATGAAGCTGTCCAAGTGGGACTCTCTCCTCTCATATTGCAGGAAGTGAATTAGAAGGTAAGCTCCTTTGTTCGCTTGCGGTCCCTCTTGCTCATGCATCATAATGTCCTTGTGAAAACTTCATTCTGTAATCCAAGCCGCACCTCGTCCCAAACATAGGAAAGGTAAATCTACTTGTTGATTGACTGAAGTTTGGGATCGCAATGGTCAGATTGCTTCCTGACATCGTGTGTTGGACCAAACCTGAGGCTACAAGGGCACACCAATCGTGAGCATGTGCAAGGAGAAAGACTTGCCATATACGATCCACGGCTGCGAGCCGACCAAGTGCAACTCGACTGGACTCGACTGGTCTCAAGCTGAAAGGAACATGTTTCCTCCATGCCAGATCTCTCCAATGTTCTGGGTGTCATGAGGAAGCCTCATTTTGTAAGGTACCTTGCCAGATGCAGACGCGGCTTATGACTACGACTACACTGTTCGCAGCATTGAGAAGCCAAGTTTCAAAGTGGAGGTCGTGTGCAAGAGTGGCAAGGGCCAAGGCACGCGGGACGGACAGGAATGTTGAAGAATGAAAGCTAAGGGACAAGGTGAATCAGATTATATTGCCAGGTGATGCAGTTCCGGCAACAGCGAATCCTCTTGTCCCTTTCATGGACCAAGCCTGTCCCGAGCCTATCCGTCAGGTCTGGCCGTGGAGTGCCACAAGGATGAAACACCTTTCACCTTGACGGGCTGCGAGCCTATCCCATGTACCTCACCTGTTGAAAAGACAGGTCATGGCTACAAAGTGCTGCTTGGCAAAGGAACGCTCGCAGATTTTGGATTTTACCTTGACCCAGTTGGCTGGTGGTGGAAAACCTGCTGATACAGTCCTTCACCACCAAAGGGTCCTCCTGAATTTAGGGATCCTTCTGCAGCTGTGGGACAAGTCTTTCGTGGGCCAATGTCTCGAGCCTTTTGTCTGATGTGACTCCTGGCTGAACGATTCTTGCCAGTTGGGGCATAAATAGGGCAAGCCCTAGTGCTAGAGGACTGCTCAATACTTTCAAACAGATACACATTATTGCACAAGCAAGTAGATTACATACAAACGTACAGTCTTACACATATCCATGATCCATATACCTCATTGTTTGATTGAAGAAACGTAGCGGGCCAACTAAACAAGCCTTGCTTAAGGCATGAGACCTCCTTGAACCCAAAGAAGTTCGACGTGACTGCCGAATGCGCATCTGGCTGCGTGGAAGCAGTGGGGCCAGATGGTTTCCAGAAGCTCTGTCAAAAGTGCCCAAAAGGCATGCGGTTGCTGATGTAAGCGCCGTGCAAGTGATATCAAGAGTTGAGGAACCCGACAAAGCCATGCACTTTGCCACCGTCTCAGGTTATCACGGCAAGCCGAAGGTGACTGGTTGCAGGAAGGGTGCTTTTCCCTACAACCTCACCGGCTGCATCCCAAAGATCTGCAGTGAGCCCACAGCAGACGTGAAGCACGCTTATCAGGCAGGTTCTGACATTCACGTCGGGTGGAACTGTGCAGGTGCCAGATGTGTGGCACAGTTTGACTTGAGTTGAAAGATTTAATACATAATTATAATGCATCTATTATAGTGTATACAGCCTTATGTTAAATAGCAAGACTTAATTCAGACCGACTCTGGGATTCTTGATGTCACAACCCAAAACTCACGCAGTCACTCATCACAGGATAGAAGAGGATCAGAGAAAAGGAGAAGAGAGAGGACAAACTGGAAAAATCAACTAAAAGACAAAGAGAAGAGGGAAAAACAAACAGGAGAGATTGAGTCACTTAAAAGAAAACTGTCAAGATTGAACTGTTCCCTGTCCCTTGTTCCAACTACCCAATGTATATTCCAATTGGAGCTGCATCTTGCCATATCTCCCAATTCCCAGCCCCCACTATTTACTGTACATCTATTTACTATTCCTGATTGCCCCTGTTCCAAGTCCACAGTCCCAGTTCTTCTTTGCCCATTTTCCTATCAAATTTCTCTAGGTTTCTTGATACACGGAGAGAAAGAGGATAAACAAAGAAGGCGATTGGAGGTCCCTTACTAGACTTGGATGATACTGTTCTCAAGCCCATATACTTATACCTCATACTCTCAGCCTAAGCTCCCCCTCCTACTCTCAGCCTAAGCTCTTATGAGATCCAAGTACCTTCAGACATTGAGCTTCTTGGTACACTTCAATTCAATCTCAAAAGCCACGGAACGTCATAGCTCCCAATCGCAAATCCCTGAGACCCTTTCATCCCCATCCGCGAGCCCCTGACCCCACTCCCAAACTCTTCAAGCCAGACGTTTGGGATTCTGAGACCTTATGGTCTCAAGAGGGTGTTTACCTTTTGGATCAAGAAGTCTTGGTTTGAAGGGCCAAAGGGTGATTGAATTTGGTGGAATTGGAACTTTGGACATGAACAGTTGAGAAGAAGAAATCGCAAACAAACCAATTTCAATGACTTGACTTCCTTTGCGTTCCTTAAAGAAGCCAGCAGGATCTCTAGTTATAGTTGACTACCAAAAACACCAGCAAAGAAAACGTATTGCTATGGATTTCAAGTCTTTCTTCTCTTATGTTTTCTAGTTTTTTTTTCTTTCAATTTTTTCCGTTCGCTTCTCCTTTTCTCTCCTCCTCTTCTATCCTCTGATGAGGGGCTGCTGGGTTCTGGGGTTATGACATGTGACACCAAGAATTCCAGATTCACTTTACTACGAGAGTCAGCTTTAATCAATTCTTTGATACTTATATGGGTGTTTGTGACAACAGCATACAATGGGAACAACACATTCACACATCAATTCTTGGCTGAAGGCTTTCAGTGTTGAGGACCGGTCAGGTCATGTGCTCTAAAAGGTCCTAGATTGTATAGGGTTGCAGAGGATCTCATGGGCCCTCAAATGAAGGTGACGCAGCGCTCCCTGAGCATACCAAGCTTCAATGTGTCTGTGGGCTGCATCGGCAAGCGCACAGGTGGCTGGGGCTCAAGCAGTGCTTCAGAATAAATTCTTAATGATGTTCTTTTGTGGGATGAACTTTATCCCTGAAAGCATGTCATTGTCAAGGACAGCTGCTGTCTTGCTTTATGTCCTGCACTACGCTCATGCCTAAGTGTGAGGGACATGGATTGTCGACAATCCAAATCAGCGCCAAACCTAGGTCCGCCGAAAGCTATGGTCTGTGAAGATCATGGAGAGCCATACAAATTGGAGGGCTGCGCCCCCTTGCTTTGTGAATCTCCTAGTTCGATGGTGGGCTACGACGTGCCGCCCGGACAAGTCTGGAGTCAGTCGGTCAAAGCAGAAATAGCTACCGGTGGGTGCATCGTATGCCGTCCGAAAAAGCAGGACGACTCAGGTAGATCAGCGGCTTATGCCAGCGAACCTAAAAGAAAGCAAATCTGGCATCATCCAACTCTGACAACTCCATGCCAATCGAGGCTTGTGAGGCATTTGGCTACCTTGAGGGAGTCGTAGTTACTCCCGCCGTGTACCTGAGCTCGTTTGAATTTCATAATTTCATCACTTTGACGTCAAAGTGTTCCTACACCATTAAATTGCACTTTTCATCCAAGCCGACCCAAAAGGGCACACCATCAAGAGGGCCTGATGCAGCCTGAAACTGATCCAAAAGAAGGCCTGCCAATATCATACAAATTGGCCAACCGGCCGTCGTCAGCGTCACGTCACAACTGGCCAAACCGACATGAAGCTAACCGTCACTCAACGTCACTCGTTGCGTCATAGCGGGTCACTCGTCGTCTTGGACGGGATGGTGAATTTTTGTATCTTAGGGGTGATGAAATTGCTTTGTAGCTTGCTCAAAAGCAACACTCTTCAAGCCCTCCCCCTCTTTTCTAGTGGTCCTCGGCCCCTCAAAAACCCATACGCTCTTGGCATTCGCTTCAATCAGTGAATTTTGTGTCCACACAATGTGACGACACAGCAACAACACACCAGATCTCCAAGCCTGGCTTTCCGCGTTTGTGTTGTGGCCCCTTCTAATTTTGCTACGAGAAAGGACTAAGGATGAATTGGTGTGCAAAAACCAGGCTTTCTCAATCGACAAAGTGCCCCAAGGGTGGAAAACTTGAAAGAGATCCTCGGCTTCGACGTCACCGCTGAATGCTCTTTTGGCTACACAGGTGTTGCAAAGGCGAGGTGAGGGCCTGGGTCCTCGAGAGGGACATGGACGGCGGATGCTAATCATGTTCAAAAATAACATACAAAACATAATGTGAAGTGCGAAAGGATCAAATAATTAACTAAATCGCAGGCAGACAGAGAGAGAGAGAGAGAGAGAAAGGGACAGGGAAAGGGAAAGAGAAAGAGAAAGAGACAGAGAAAGAGAAAGAGAAAGAAAAAGAGAAAGAGAAAGAGAGAACGGGGGATACTCAGCTATTGCATTTCAGCTGTTCTCTTTGGGGCCAGGTTCAAGCATGCAAAGCAGATGGGGAACCCTATGTCCTGTCTGGTTGCACTCCCATTGTCTGTTCAGAGCCGCCGGAAGAGGAGAAGCGAGACTACGAGATTACACTGTCTGCCTAGCTGCACATGGAGATTGATTCTTTTTTCCGTATTTCCCTCAATTGAGCCAAGTTGCTAACTCATTGCTAGCAGCAGTTCTTGCCAAGGGCTACCTGCTTCTGACACCAGTGCTCCAAGATTAATCTTCTTTGCCCGATGTATATATATATATACAATCGCACAGGCATTTGAGTTCCCTCGTTCAACAGTTTCAGATGACTTCCTTCCCCCACCGAAAAGCACAAATTCAACGGGAGTCCTCATATCAGTCCTTAATTTGCATCCATGTTTTGAGAGCAAAGAGAAGATCCAATTCTTTCGCACTCTGAGGCACTCCTTGGAGCGTCCCAGCTTTAGCATTTCCACCCGCTGTAGAAGCGGTGTTGGCACCGGGCGGGCTGTGCCCTGCAAGCACCACGGGGACGCTTACCACCTCGTGGGATGCAAACCGGCTTCCTGCACATCACCCCGGTTGACCTTGGGAGATGGCTATGTGGTGCAGCCTGGTGAAGTGGGTGACTGTTGGTCTGTCGGCGACCTCGATGGGCCAGTTGTTGTGACAGTCCTTTCCCGATTCCTGCTAAGACGCATTCGGGATCGGGGCTCTAATCCTGATCTGGGGTAGATCGGCTTGTTTTGCTTCTTCAGGTATGAGACATCCTTGACCTACCCCAACTTCCAAGTCAACGCCTCTTGCGCAGATGGTTACACTGGCAAAGCGGTGGTGCGGAGGTGCAGGAGGGGTGGTGAACCGTACGAGGTCTCTGGCTGCTCAGCCCCGAAGTGCCTTGGCCTCACCAAGCTGACTGCCATTGCCCTGCTGATTTGTTGAACATCCAAAGGTATATTGAGAAGACTGCAGAGGAAGCATGGTGTTTCACACTTTAATGATAAGCATCTCTTGAAAGGACACCCGCATAAAGGATAAGGCAGGCCGACTGCTGGCTCCGGAACAGTAATATCCCAAGGAAACGACAAATGACGACAAACTCACACTTTTACTGTAAACGAAGGTCCTTTTTCCATGCTGGAAGCCGTGTGAATGAACACCGTTCCAGAACAGTGTGCCAACCCTATCCACTGCAGCAGCTGAGGTGCACAGAGCCTAAATCAGTGCCGCATAGATATACGCAGACTGTTCTGGATTGGCACGCTTTTGTGTTGGTGCATTTCTACTTGTTCCCCTCCCTTGTAGGCTTTGGAGCAACCATTCTTTGGATTCTTTTTTCACTGGAAGTCTCACGTCATTTGTGTTCGAATCTCTTGCTCTGGAAAGAAAGACCCGTTGAATCTTGGGGTGAATATCTTGGTAGGGGATTGCTGGCATTCTCATGCTTTCGGCTTTAGGGGTTGAGCCACACTCATGGCCACTTTTAGGACTGGCAGGTCCCGACCCATGTTGTGGGATTTGTGCCAACAAGTTTCGATTGTTCGACAGATTCCAAAAGATCTTGAAATGAGACACCATTCCTGCCGGAACTGGATGTCCAGATCCGGAGCCCTGCCTCGGGAACGTCTTGGGAACGTTGAGAACGGGGAGGTACAAGGTTTACTCCTTGGAGAAGCCCAGCTTCAGTGTGGCGGTTCGCTGTCGTGGACACAACTCAAGCATCCCGAAGGCTGGAGTCGAGGGTGATGGAGTTGATCGAGGGTGAAAAGCGCAGATGAACCTGCTATGCGGTGTTGTATTCAAGCTTTGGGTTGACCTTCTAAGAGCGTTTCTATTATTTTTCTAAACTAGAAGCTACTAGGGTGGAGGCCATCGCTATTAGGTTGGAGGCCATCGCTACTAGTAACAAGAAGCTACGAATGTAACTAGAACTTTCCAAGCTTTTGAGGTGTGGTGAGTGATGCTACTTAAAGAGCTTGCAGGTTCCACCTAAAGAGCTTGCAGACCAGCCTTACTTTGCAACTGCCAGGCTGTGCCGTGTGAGAAAGATGGGGAGCCCTTCAACCTCACGGGCTGCTTGCCATTGGAGTGCACTTCCCCAATGGCTGATGTGACCACCGGATATGTGGTGCATCTTGGCTTCCAAGCTTGACCTTCAGAGTAAGCTAAATATAGAATACGAATGAACTCATCCAACCCACGATCCTGGGAAGGAACTGGTTCTTTTTGCTTGGCTTATTGTGGCAACTCTGCTTTCTCATTTCAACTGGAGGCTCGACTAATAGGCGGTGTTTTCAGATGGTGCCAGCAGGGCTGTGCATTGGTGGAACCTGAAGTAACAAGCCAGCTGCATCTTGATGGGTGAACCAACTAACTCCATTTGGGCATGAGGGACTATTCTTATCGACCGAGCATCATTGGCCCAGGCACGAGAAGTCTTTGTTCTCCAACTCCTTCGATGTGCAAGCCAGCTGTGCCGAAGGTTATACAGGTCATCCTAAGGTGGAGATCTGCAACGAGCCTGACAAGCCTTACGGCTTGTCAGGTTGTCGACCCAAGGTCTGTGTGCCTCCCAAAGAGATTGAGGCTTACAGCTCCCTAGCTGGAAAGAGAGAGTTTGACAGAGAAGTCAATTCCCCATGGCAAGACCTGCAGGCACAAGGTAATAAAACCAAACCTTTCGAACGTATCAAGCATTTCCAAGAACCTTGGAAGACCAGCTATAAAAAAAGCATATATATATATATATACACACAGCCTGTGGTCCAACCAGCGGGAATTCATTTGCAATTTTCACTTGGACTCCAGTCGCCCAGGCTACAGTTTAACTGAGCGCTCGCTGGAGATCCCCAGCTTCAGCGTCTCCGCCTCCTGCAAGACACAAGCCACTGGTCCAGTCCGGGCGGTGCCATGCACCGAGGCAGGGTGGTCATTTGCCCACAGAACGCAGTTCGTAGGTGGTGGGGGCCGTACAGGCGGCACAGACGCTAGTGGCCCAGTAAAGGCTTGAGAGAAAGGGTTGTGAAGGTCTTTGTGCACCGTAGTGACTTGGAATGGTTAGCAAGTGACTTGGGCTTAGCAATTGAATACGGCGTCCCTTGGAGTAAAGCGACCGGGTAGACAGGATGCTACACACCCTGTACCTAGCCAACAAAACACCCACCAACCACTGCAACTACCACAGGGACCACAGGGTACATCTGTTGGCCGACAGCATCTGACAGCCCCGTTGGCTGATCTTGGAGGATGGAGACTCCTATACCCTTGAGGGCTGCCTCCCTGGCTTTTGCACCTCTCCTGCGAAGAAAGACAGCGAAGGATTTGTCGTGCCACTTGGGCTGGATTGCGCAACTGTTGCAAAAGCAAGAATCGTTCCAGCAAGGGTCAGCAAGAATCGTGTATTTTCTGTGTTTCGTAGAGCACGTTTCGCGGAGTCTATGTTTCTAGGTATGAAGCTTACACACAAATGGATCGCTTCAGCGTCTCTGCGCGCTGCGGGCAAGACTACGACGGCACTGCAACAGTGACCATTTGCAGTGAACCTGGAGAGCCCTACAAATTGGGTGGATGCCATGTGGGGAAGTGCATACAGCCCAGCAACAAGTATCAAGAGGCACCGAGTAAATCGACGATTTAGATCAACTTACTTTCGCACTATTGGTCAATTCATCATTGATTGCTGTGAGGCAAGATCCCCCAGAGCTTTTTTATGAACACCATCCAAACTTCAGCCACTATCCCGATCTTGCTTGGAGGCGTACGAGCTCACAGTATACTCCTTGGAGCGCCCCAGCTTCAGTGTCAGCGCCCAGTGCCGCTACGCCAACGCCAAGGGTCGTGCGCTGCCCTGCAGTGCTGATGGCCAACCCTTTGAGCTCCATGGGTGCCCCTTAGGTGAATGCCTTTCGCCAGTGAAGACCTTGGAGGATGGCTATGTTGTGCACCTCAGAGGGTTCATAGTTGAAGAGACCTTGTTGCTGTTTCCCACATATAGAAATAGTTAGAAGAAATATATAATATTTTGAATCCCTGTATGTTGGAGTGGTTTTAGGTCCTGTTGTTCTTTCATGTTCTTTCCGTGTCTTTCCAAGAATGGGCTCAAGCCCCTTGCTGCTTGTGCGGCTTTAAGGTATGAGGCCTCCAAACGCCTGGACACCTTTAATGTCTCGGCCTCCTGTGCTGCGGGCTACAGAGGCGTTGCTGCCGTGGAGGAGACGAAACGGGGGGACCCCGAAGGGGGACCGAAGAGCTCGTCCTAACGAAACTTCACTTTGGCACCTGAAAAAGTGCCCCAACTTGGTCCCTATTGTTTGTGTCATGATCATACATGAAGAAAGAATGCAAACACAAAGGCTCCTGATCTAGAGGGTCATCAGAGCTTTCTAGAGTCGTTTATGTATGTATATATGATATATGTATTATTACTATTATTATTACAATCCGTATTATATAATTTTTTTGATTGTTTAAACAAATACTATTAATTATTCATTCATTTATTTATTATTACTATTGTTTCTATTTTTATTTATGTATTTACTTTATTTTATTGCTATTAGTTATTTAATTCTTATTATTCTTATTCTTATTTCTTATTTATTATCTATTTCCCCAAACAGTTTGCTGTTAGGGGTTCTCAATTCTTTCTTAAGATGTGTCCGCCCTTTGTGTCACTGCTGGTGCCCGCCCATTTCCACTGACCATGTAGCATTTCTATTCATTTGTCTCCCAGGTCTGTCACTGCTGGTGTCCGCCCTTTTCCGCTGGCCATGTAGCATTTCTATTCGTTTGTCTCCCAGGTCTGTCTCTGCTGGTGTCCGCCCTTTTCCGTTGG